GAGGGGAGCATTAGAAAAGTAATATGAGCAGGAGTGGAGGGAGACAGCACAGAGTAGAGCATGGGCCCATCCCCAGCACCACCCAAAAACAGAGGAAGGGAGGAGGGAGGAGGGGAAGAGGGAGGAGGGAGGAGGGAGGGAGGAGGGATGAGGGAGGGAGGGAGAAGGGATAAGGGAGGAAGGGAGGAGGGAGGGAGGGGGGAGGGAGGGAGGAGGGATGAAGGAAGGGAGGGAGGGAAGAGGGAGGAGGGAGGGAGGAAGAAAGGAGGGATGAGGGAGGGAGGGAGGGAGAGAAGAGGGAGGAGGGAGGGAGGGAGGAAGCCAAGGAGGGGGGAAAGGAATGACTGGTCTCATCAACCCGTGATTGAGCTTTGGGGAGACTAACACCCAGGAGTGCAAGAACATGCCTGGCTTATTGCTGGGGGAGAGATGGGCAGTGGGCAGTGGTGGTACAGCCTCAGAGTCTTGACCAGGTTCACCTTCTCTGCCCGTTAAAGGACTCAAAGGCAGTGAAGAAATCTCACACACTGCTAACAGAAGCAGATGAAATCAGCAACTGAAGAAAGGTGTTTACTGGAGGAAACACACATACCAGAAACACAGAGAAAAAGACGAGCAAAACTGTGAAATGGGAGTGGGGGGGGGGGGGGCTCAGGAAGCCTGAAGGGGTGGGGTTTTTAAAGTCTTTGAAGAGATATACTCCCATTTTAGGGTTGGTCCTTCAGAGGAGATGGATGGTTGGTCGGCCCACAGCTGTTATGTAACATGTTCTGAGGCGGCTTTGAACCAATCTCCTCAGACCCGACTTTGCCAGTCAGCGGCAGCAGACCTTCTGATCAGAGACAAAGGCCTTTGTTTAAAGAGGTGTCCGTCTTGAGTGGGGTGGGTAAGGCAGAAACCTACCGCCTTGGAAATTTGCCACCTTTGGCTCCGGGCCATGTCCCCCCAATCTGTCTGCGTGGCATCAGACCCTCAATGGTACAGTTGAGTAGAAGTCTCGTGGAACGTTCTATAGCAGACCAGGGTCACTGTGGCCAACAGAACCAACTGGGTATTTCCACAGAGCTAGCAGAGGGGGTTTTAATGCCTCCGACAAGAGAAATGAGGTGCAAGTGCTGTGGCTGGACGGGCCATGCAGCACGCAGTCCTAACGGAAACCCAGAAAACACGCAATCCGTGGCTCCACTGACGACAAAAACATACCCAAAACAAAAACATTAACAGACACAGAATATCCTAAATTAGTGTCGCCAAAACTGAAAGTGGACCGTGTGCAGCAATAAAGAAACCTCTAGCAAAGACTATCAGGTGTGAGCTTGTTCCAATTTCTTAAAAGAAAGAGGGGGGGAGGGAGCGGGGAAGGGAGAGAGAGAGAGGGGGGAAGAGAGAGGGAGACAGAGAAGCATTCTTTATGCCCCCAAATTCAACTAACCAATTAGATACTGGTATTTTTCTTCTACATTCTTAAGAAATGAAAGTAAGTCTGTGAGCCTCCCGGTCCCCATACTTTCGTGGTCTTGGGACCTCGGCACTTAAACCTAGTGCCCGACCATCCATCTTTATGGACATGGTGAAATGAGTAGTGAAAGAAAAATCACATCACATATACACATTTTGTGTTTTCCTATTAAAAAAAAAAAAAAAAAAAAAAAAAAAAAAAGGATGTCCACTAGAGGGAGTAAATAGTTCATCTATTTGAAGGTGTGGCAACTAAAACAGGTCCCTTCAAAAGATTTACAAGACAAGGAATGGTACCAGAATGTTTCACAAGGTTCCCCCCCCCCCAAAAAAAAGAAAGAAAGAAAAAGAAAAAGAGGATTAAGGAGTTATACATTTAAAACATCTGCTCAAGTTTCTGTCACCAGAGATACAAATTAAGATTTTTCTAATCTACAGCTTACTGGCCTACAGAAGAGTTGAGTTTGGAGGGTAACGTAATCCCATCAATTTTAACACACAATTGCATTGGTGAAACCTCCACTCTATCAAGAAGCAAGCTTCATTACTTCCCCAAACGTTCTTTCTTTCCTTCCCCAACCTGACAGCACTCCATTTTATAGAGGAATGTGCATCCAACCATGGGACATTTAGAGTGTCTCCAGCTATTGGCAATTATTAATACAGATTTTCCGCCCACATACTAAATTTTCATTGCTATAGGGAAATGTCTAGTAAAACTGCTCAGCAAGATCATCTGTACCTATTAACTTTATCTGAAACTGCCAACCTAGGATTCTCGCCAATGGCAGAGGAGGTTTCAACCTCTGCATCTCAGAAGTACTTGATAGTGTTACTATGCATCACAAGAACTATGTGGCTACTAAGTGCTGGCCACAGCGTTCCTATCGAGTCTCTGTGCTCATTCATCACTAACATAGCTGTTGAGCTACGTCAGCCTCATCTGTGAAATCTGAGCCAGCCTGGCATATCACAAGAACACTGCCTTTAGAGGCAGTCCTCGACTCAAATGATGAGTCCTTCACCACTAACTGCAAGACTCTGAACATGCCTTTATTTGCTCGGAGTACTGGTTCACGCCCATAATCTCAGCGCTTAGAAGGCTGGGACAGGACTGCCACAAGTTCAAGTCATCATGAACTACTCTGTCTCCAAAAAAGAAAGAGAGAGAAGAAAGCATATAATGTGGATGCCAGCTTTACATCTGCAGTTGAGTTAAATGGCATATGAGCTTGGAACATCAGAGATGCTCAGGAATGTTGGTTTCTTCCTCTCCAACAAGAACCCCCCCTCCTTGTCCCTTTCAGCACTTTCTAGACTACTTAGAAAGGACTCCCTTCCAAGAAGTGACGGGCAAAGGGATCAAGGCCAGGATGCGGAAACCCAGAGACAGCTGACCTGAACAAGGAAGAACTCATGGACCCCAGACTGATAGCTGGGAATCCAGCATAGGACCGACCTAGACCCCCTGAACGTGGGTCTCACTTAGAAGGCCTGGGCAGTCTAAGGGACCTCTGACAGTGGAACCAGGATGTCCCTTGTATCCTGGTGCACGAAAAGACTTCAGGAGCACATGGAGGGATACTCCCTTAGCCTAGAGGCAGGAGGGAGGCCCTACCCCAAATGACTTGACAGATTTTGATGATCCCTCCTGGAAGGCCTCACCCTCCCTAGGGAGTGGTAGGTAGGGAATGGGATGTGGGGGGAGACATGGGCTGGGGGAGGGGGTCATGGGAGGATCAGAGGGAGAGGGAACTGGGATCAATATGTAAAATAAGAATAAATAATCATTAAAGGACTCCCTTCCATAGACCTGGGTCTTTTGAAGTATGCCCTAAATTCCGACACCGACTCTCCATCCACTATAAATCTAACCTGCCTTGACTTATCCTCTCTTCTTCAGCTTCCAGGATAACTTGGCTTTAGCCCTCTTCACCTGAAGAAAGGAGCTGAAGATATACCAGCAAAGGCAAACCTCCCCGGAGCTCTAGCGTGGGATGCTAACTACCTTGAGCACCAGCTGCAGAAGCCTGCGTGTGGGCAACAGCTGGCTATACACTTATTAGCGCACTCTCAACGCAAGTCACAGGCACCTTCGCTAATGGCTTACATGTTTAAACAGACTCTATCCAAAACTAATCTAGTGGGGCAAAAGTCAGTAGTAATTTTACAGAATTCCCATGCAGGAAAAAAAAAGTGGTTGTGAGTTTTCAGCTACTAAACAACAACATACTGTCCTGTCTATGACTCACAAGCATTCAGTTACCCAAAGTAGGAAACGAGGAAGAAAATCATTCGACTCAGCCCTTCACATCCATGAGTTCTGTGTCTTATGAATTCATGTGTGATTAAGTCTGATATTGAAATGAAATATTGCCGTAGACAGTGCTTGGTGAGTCAGCTCCGGGAATACAGTCCTGTTATTCTCCCAAGGGTTCCAGAGCCTCAGGGGACTCGATGGGAGATGCCCTGTTTAATATGGCAATAGGAGAGACTGTTTGTTGCTCATCCAGAGAAGCCCTTTCAGCAAACAATTGCCAAGTGGAGAGAGACCACTGACTGCTCAGATGCCAATCTTGACGTGTGGGCACTGGAGACTTTGGAGGGCACGCCCTACGGAGGTCTGTCGCTAGCCATCCATGCTCATGACCACCCTCCCCTGCCATGCTTTGCATAGAAGCTAGACTAAGAGGGAAACAAGGAAATAGCTTAGGTAGAAGAGAGCAGCTTCTCCTTGCCGAAGCCTTGAGGCCAGGGGCAGCACACTCATTAGACGTGTTGTAACCAGGGTCCTTGCTTTTCTGTTGGAGGGTGCATTCTCCGCTCCTGGGTTAAGCCTTCTCTAGTTCTTGGCACTAACAGGCTTCTACAGATGACAAAAAGCTCCTCTCTGAGCCTGCGTGACTCCGTCCCTCTTTAGTGGTCTTCCTGGATTTTTAGGTAAGCATCCTTGGCCTCCATCAATAAAACGCCCTACTAATCAGTGAGAAAGCACTATGGGAGATCTCCCTTTGCCCTCGGATTACCTGGTGGTAAACGTCCACATCATAAGGCGTTGTCAGCAAATCTCACAGAGAAAGGCAGCCTTGCAGCGCCAGGCTCAGCCAGAGATGTTAAGGCATTCTAACACAATCCCACACGTGTACCCTGAGCTGTTTCAAGAAGAGACTTCTGCCCCTGAGTATTCCAACCTTAGTGCTAAAGCAAAGCTAAGCCCAGAGGTACTGTTTCCCCCTTCAGGTACTCTAGAATTACTAAGTTACTACACCCACAACTCCCGGGCAAGCAGAAGGCATGGAAACTTTTCCCTACTGGAAAATTCCAACAGCAAAAGCCTGTTTGCTGGCACTCTGATGAAGCCTGACAAATTGCAATTGCTTTTATTTTAACAGGCCGTTCAGCTGGGCCCTTAGCACCTTACAAACAGAGTCATCGCCTCAGTGGACACAGTAAATTCTTTCCCTTCAGGAAGTTTCCAGATGCTGAGCAGAGGCACTGAGGCCCCCTCTGGTCCTCCTGCAGAGCTTACACACTGCCATTACCTGTAGAGGTGCCGGTTGTCTTCAAAATCCTCCTGACCCCACTTCCCCTTGATGTCTTCAATCACATGATTCTTCAGGAATTTCTTTAGCAGCTGCACCGTTTGTTTGCGAGTTACCTCAGGCCCAAAGTTCTGACTGTTCCTCAGAAGCTCGTGCAGCCAGTCCACAGCCTCAGCTGCCGTGAAGCAGTGCTCGTAGGTCTTGAAACGGCAGCGATGCTTTCGTAAGGGCATCCTGGCACGAAATAGCTCCACCGTTTCGTTCCACTGGGCAAAGGACACAAAAGAATTCAGTTATCCACTAGGGCTTTTTAAAGGCTACTACAACCCAAACATTTAAATCTAGGAATGCCAGTTTTCCACCTAATAAACCGCTTCAGGACTAGGGACTGCTTAGCATACGCAAGCCCCCACATTAAGATAAACAGATTGAGCCACAAATCGGTAGGTTGATAGGTAGGTAGGTGGGTAAACAGGCAGACAGATAAATTCAAATTTTTTTTAAATTAAAAAACATGGAATAGCGGATGGAGATTTAGAATTTTATTTGCAGCCTTCAAACTCTAAAAAGAATGAAAGCTGGGAAGTAATGATTACAAAATGGTGTGAATGTAATTAATGCATATAAGTACACACTTAGAAACAGTTAAAGTAGCCTAAGTCGTGGTCATTTTGTTACAGCTGAAGCAAAAATAGAACCTATTTACAGAAGAGAAACGAGCAAAATGCAACTTCTAAAGGGTAGTTCATTCTTGATTCATTCAAGGAATAGTTATTGAAGACACAGCTTAGATTATATAGTGAGACAATGCCCCAAATCCAGCCCATTGTACACAATCCATTACTAGACATCCCACGTTTATTTAATATGACTTCACTCAGCAAACACTTCTAAACTGTTCATAGTGTGAGAGGAAACACATGGGGAGGGAGGGGATAAAGCATGAACAGTAACAATGACAGCCTACCCAATGTCAAAGACCTGGGGGCAGGAGAGAAAAACCTTTACAAAGTAGTATCAGGCTTTTGCTTATTTGCCAAAGGAAATCATTTGAAAACATCGCTAGTCATATTTCAAATCACACACACAGACTGTAAACCCTCTTCTTTCATTACAGGCAAGCTCTCACGCCCTTTACTTGCCTGAGAGGGTAGTTGGTTCTGAGGCTCTTCTGGAAGAACACAGTCCAGTTAGGCTTTATATGCCACATGGACACTGATGCCTGAAACACAGAGCTCAGACTCTGAAGCCCTGTCTAACATCACAGCCTGCTCTGCCAACGACCGGAAGGCCAGCCTCGCACTCACTGCTAGCCAAGCCTGTGCATCTCCAGCTACAGAGCAACAAAGACCAGAGGCATACAAAATAAAACCAAAAAGCCTGTCTCCGTGCCAGCCCTGAGGTAGGCACTTAACAAATCTCACCATATATTGCCATTGCCATTGCCTTTGTTATCAGAGTGGCTGTGGCCATTAAAGCTGAGCAAGTAAACAGAACAGCCCCCTGCATTGAGTCTCCAGGTTTCAGTCCAGTCTCTGTCAATAAGCAGAATGTACTGGAGCACAGTTACCACATTGCTGTAGGATATATATAGCAATTCTAGCAAACTAAATTATAAAAAACTGAAACTTAAAAAAGGTAAGATTCTAATATACAAAAATCGTGGAAACTAGTTGGAGTGTTGGCATGTACCCATACACTCCTGATTTGCCTTAAGGCAAGGTGAATGTGAGTTCAAGGCCAGATTAAGATATAAAACAAACAAGACATCCCACCCACCCCCATTAAAAAAAAAAAAAAAAAAAAAAAAAAAAGGAATCCAAAGAAAGCCATGGAGGTAGGTACCGCTCGTGATCAGCCTGCTAAAAAGCAGGGTAGCATTCGCCAGTTCAGTCCACTCCAATCAAATCAAAGAGGCACGTGTCTCCCTGCTTATAGGTGGGTTATCATCGTGTCGGATCAATGCATACTGACTCACTCTAACTCACTGTTGGTGGTGCTCAGGGCACAGAGATCCTGGCCTGGACTAAGAGATAGATGTTGGGCTGCTTCAACAGAGCAGATCCATCTCTGAAGATGGGAGAAAACATACTGAATGAGAGCAAGGGTCTAATCCCAGATCTTTCATTCACAGTGTACATAAGGTTTGGCACGTGTTAAGTACCATAAAAAAATGCAAATGCCACTGATTGGATCACATCAGCCCCTAGGTCCCTTTAAAATTAAAAAAAAAAAAAAAAAAAAAAAAAACAGATCTCTCATTTTTTAAATAACTTCAAGACAACTGAGCCTCTTCCCCCTTGGTTATGAGTGAAATTGCATCAGTGACAAGAAATCAGGAAGTGAATAGGTCTAGAATGAGGAAGCCATTTATCCAGCTCCTGCTGGAAGCTTTATGAACACGGCAATGACCTAGTTAACATCCCAGCAGGCAGCTGACGGACGGAAGCAGAGTGAGTGGACTGCAAGCATCCGAGTGGTCACTATATAAAAACAGTCACAGCTTTCCACAGCCTATGCCAGAGACACCAAGACCACCACAGCAATCCTCCTGGCGCGCCTCGGAACTGATCCCACCCCTCAAGAGACTCTTGCCTACTCTGCTTCTACCAAGTGAATGCGTGAATAAATGGCTACTACTTTTGCTCCTCACACAGCAGGAATATGCCAACCCTTCTCCCCACGAGCCTTTGTATCGTGTAAACCTCATTAACTGTTACTGCTCTGTTGGTGACATGAACCTGAGGGAACGGAGCCGATAAGTGAGGTGGACTAAAGCCTCATGCAATAGCCGCCTTCATTCAGGGCATCAGACGATTTCTATTCTGAGGGCACTCTACAGGTTAGGCAAAGTTGACTTGCGTTCAAGCTGTACACAGTCACAAGGGCAAGGTCACATGGGTTCAGGCTGTCTATAGTCACTGAGGACCACTCAAGGCTGCAAACATTCTAGATCATGGGTGATCTAAAGTAAACATGGGTGATCACAGCTGGGAGGGCATGGACGCACATTCCAAGAACAACCCATGTTAGGGAAAAACAGAGATTACAGACACTTGCCTTGTTTCCTGGGAGTAACTTCTCACAAGTTCTCAAAAATTCTCCTCACACAGCTTCATTCACGGACACTGTCCCGACAGCAACTACCTTCCAAAAGCTTAGCGACTTCTTCCAAACTAAACAGCGGAAGTCTTCTGTAAACTATTTTTACATGCTTTTTTTTTTTTTTCTTTTTTAAGAAAAAGACAGCCGTTTGGAGGAGGATGCATAAGTAGCTGAGTAGCTCCTGTACTCTCATGAATTGGGCCTGTCATTTCATTTTTAACCATAAAATTTTAGCTAATCTGTCAAGTTTTACTTTCAAGCCAGACATCGGTGCTTTAGAAAATGAAGCTGTTACGTGTTATTAGAAAGTACAGCCAACAGGGGAAAAGGGCATTCACCCTTTCTTGTCTGTGTGCTGAACAGGTCTCTGGGCACTCCCTGAAGAAAAAGGAAGTTGAGAGGAAGAGAGCTGGGCCAAGGGTGCGTGGAGGAAATACCAGCCTCAAGGACAAGAGAGAGTGAATCACAAAACAGGTATTCATGCAAGAAAAGGTTTAAGGCGTGGCTGGATTGTATTTGGGAAACATCTACAGGTTTTACTTTTATTAACAACTGTAATTTCTAGTAACAGCAACCCTCACATTTATGTAAAAAAAAAAAACTGATGATCGATCTGTCTTTTAAATCCTAATATTTAGTATTAAGTTTCTCAAATAAATAATAAAACTGGAAGCCTTATTATCTGCACAATTCTGGTAAAACTGGAACGTTTATTAATTTATTAATTATCCATATACTTTTCCTTTTAATTAGCTGATTAACCTAAAATGGACTTGAATGACATGGGCAGTAGGGATCAAAAGCATCCAAAGACAGTATTTTCTTTACAGATTCCTTCCGTAACACATTGATGCCACAGAGAATCCAGCAGCATCTGTATACTGAACCTCTGCAACCGTGAAGAGATGCACCCCACACACACAACTGTCTGACACAGCGTGCCACTGCTGTGAAGAGACACCATGATCGTGGCAACAAAAGAAAGCATTAAATTTGGGCTTCCTTAGGTGCAGAGGTTTAGTCCATTATCGTCTGGCAAGGAGACAGGGCAGCATAGTTCTAGAGATGTAAGTGAGAATCAGCAGGCAGCAGGAAGAGAGGACGCTGGGCTGGGGTTGGCATTTGAAGCCTCAAAGCCCGCCCCCAATGACACACTTCCTCCGTCAAGGCCACACCTCCTAACCCTTCTCAAGTAGTGTCACTCCCAGATGACTAAGCATTCAAAAAAATAGATGAGCCTATTGAGGCCATTCTTTTTCAAACCACCCCAACGACATTTTAAAGCAGGTCCAATTATTATTTTTTTGTTAAATCAGAAGACAGGATAAGGACCAGTTTGTTTCCCTTGAACAAGTATTATGAATAAATTATGTAGAGGATGAAGCGTGTTCTTTTTTCCTACCCTAGAGGAAGATATTAACAGTCAACCCTTACCCAAAGTTTCAGTCACCCACAGTAAACAGTAACCTGAGCAACAGAAAATGCCAAAGCTCCACCGTGCCTGAGCTTTCAATTGCCTGCAGCTCTGAGTGGCAGAGTGAAACTGTTTCATTGCACCAAAGAGGTGAATGAAGTCGACGTCCAGTGTAGCCACACTGCATATGCTACTCACACATACGCCACATTTAGGTTATCGGACCAACTGGTGAGGTATCCCAGCTTGCGGCTTGACTCCACGAGACACTAGAAGAAAGGAAACTACGTCCCTAGAATATGAGCCTAATACAAGAGAGTTTGGATCCTCGTCCCCACCTTTCCCAGGATGTCTTAAGAGTGCAGAGAGCAGCGAGACTCCAATGCGAGTAGTTCGCAGACTAAACTCAAAGGCTTCACCTGTTATCGATTTCGTTGTGCAGATCCTTGCAGGCAGCGGTCAGTAAAATTACTTCCTCCAAGTAGTAACACAGATCAGCTAAGTCTCGGAATATCAAAATGTGTTTGCATGAGACAAGGCCTCACCCTGGCGCATCTGCAAGGGCTTGCAGACCACCAATCGGAGCGGATCTCTAAGTGAGGTGGGTGGGTACTGACAGACACCCAAACGCCAGGGGCAGGAACCTTTAGAGGAGCAACCCACCTGCGTGAGGTGCACAAAGGTCACTCGGGAAGGCGACACGCACGCCCCTGCGTGGATCACAGCAACCCGCAAGTGCTACACGGGTAGGATGGTCCTAGGGCTCCCAGGCGCTAGCGTGAGTCTGTCTGGAGCACAAAGAGCGGCGCCCGATCGCCTGGAGTTCGCTTCCCGCTAAGGCCGAAAGCGCCGTCTATGGCACTCAGCACGGTCACCGCCCGCAGACGAAGTCCGTCCCACCCTGGTTGGGGGCTGGCTGGCCCCAGGCCTCCCCCGCCGGCTGCGGGGCGGGGTGAGCAGCCGCGACCCCAGCGGATGCGCACCGCCCGAGTCACGGCGGGGACGGCGGCGCGGGGTCCGCGCGGCGCGCACCCTCACTCACCAGCTTGGTGGCCCGGTACGGCCCGGGACCCACGATACGGTGCTCCATCGCCAACCGGCAGCAGTCGCCGGGCAACGCCGGTGCCGGCTCCCGGGCTCGCCGCGCCGCAGTTTGAATCGCAGACCTGCAGGCTCCGGGCGCTGATTGGGCAGAGCGAAGGCACGTGACAGGAACTGCGTGAGTGGGCGGGGCCGTGCGCGTCCCGATCTTACGGGCTCAGGGGTTTCTGCTCCTGCGAGCTGGACCGGAGAGATGCTTCCTCCTCGCCAGTGGGGCGCTCGCTCCGACACTCGCGAGCCTGACGGATGGCGCATGGTGGAAGGCGCTGCCCAAACCCTGCCCGGACCCGGGAGCCAAGCCTACCTGGAACGTGGTAGATGATGATAGATAGATAGATAGATAGATAGATAGATAGATAGATAGATAGATAGATAGATAGATAGATAGATAGATAGATAGATGATAGACAGATAGGAGGTGGGCCAACAGCTGTCCAAGTGGAGGAACTTTTAGATGCTAGATCAGGGCAATCCGCCATGAGGAGTCGTGGGCACTCCCTCCCTGGTCCGCTTCTGTTCTGTTGTCTTGATAAAGTACAATAACTCGTCCTTTCTATTTTGCATCTGCCTGAAATTGTTTCAGTCCTTTGCTTATGGGGCTGATGAATCTGTTTTCTCTGCACTGGATCGCCTTCCCACCTCCAACCCTTAGGAATTAGTTGTTGGTCCGGCTTGCAAATTGTTCCAAGAGACAAATGACTTCGCCAATCTCTATACGACGTTCCTTTAACTCAGTGACTCCACGTCAGAACCTGTGTCTGGACACCTCGGTGGCGACCAGGACAAGAGACTGTTAAGCAGCCACCTCAGTCGTGTTAGCTGCTTTTTGCAATTGACAGTGGTTGATTCAGACGCTCAGAACTGGTGAAAAGTGCTGAGATTAAGAAGCAAAGCACTGAACGTGGGATATTGATATGAGCACCCCCTGTCGGGGAACATGGTGGGGAACCCGGTAGAAGAGGGTGCAGAAAGAATGTACCAGCTGAGGGGCTGGGAGGAGTTGTGAGAGGCTGACTTCTGTACGTGGTGTGGATGTTCCACTCATGAACTCACAGCAAGTTTGATTACCCGTACAAGACCTGTACATAATGGACCCTGTCAACATTCCAGCAGGCCAGGGAGGGCAGCCAGTGAAGAGGTTATTGGAAGTTAATGGATGCTGAGAGATATCGTCTATTTTCTTCCAGTAATTAACCCCACACCCACACTCATGTAAGCAACCCTAATTAAACTCTGTGAGTCATAAAAAAAATATTTCAAAGTAAAGCCTGGACATGCTCAGTTAAGAATTTATTTGCGGGCCTGAGGGCCTGAGGTGAGATGGCTCAGCTAGTAAATGCACGTGATGCTAAGGCCAGTGTTTGGTCCTGAGAGCCTACTTAGTGGAAGCAGAGACCTGACACCCACAGGTTGTGCTCTGACCTCTGCATAGGCTTTGGTGACCTCCTCCCAAGAGCTGAGATTAAGCACCTGTGCCCATTATGTTTGACTGTAACCCTTATATTTATGAGACATATTCCAGAGCTTTTTCAAATCATCAATATTCGAATTGAACTAGATATGTAAATAGGAGAAACTCCATTTTACTACTAAGGAAGCTGGGCTTCAGAGAAGCCAAATAGCTTGTTTAGAATCCCATGTCTAATAATTAATAAGAGGTGGACCTCCATCTGTGCTTTCTATTACCAGAGCCTGTGTAGAGTTTGATTTCATTTGCTAACTTGGTTTGGATGGTTTTACTAATACCTTTAACACTGAAATGGACAGTCAAAATAAAACCTAATTCATATTTATACAAAGGCATTTCAGGAACCTGTCATTGATGGACCCAAGTAATCTTTACTAGGATTAAGTTTTATAAGAAAAGCCCTAAGTGTAACTCCCAGTTATATCCAGATTAGATCACTGCATCCATCTCTACATCCTGAGTATAACAAGTTTAATGATTTGCTGTGCATCCTCTTCCGTGGTACACTCAAGTGTGCCATCGAGATGCCATAGAAACCGACCCAATGTGCGAAGACCTTCACCGGATGATCGTCCTTACATGGATAACTGTCTGTTTCACTGACTTGCCACTGGAATTAGGAAGTTGCAAGGCAAGCAGCAGAAAGAAGTTTGCCTCAAGTATAGCCTCTGTTGACAGTTGTGATGCTCAATCAGGCTCAGCTCTGCCTTGGCATCCAGAGGATCCCTGGATGTTACAGTCACTCAATGCCCAAGTCACTCACGGCTTACCTGAGACTTTAGCTCTTCAGGATGCCCCTTGGGGTCCATTCCATGGCTTTTATTAGCATTTTAGCCATCAAAAATTGTCCACTTTGAAGGGGCTGGAGAGATGGCTTAGTAGTTAAAAGTGTTTCATGTTCAGAGGACCAGGGTTCAGCCACTAGGACCCATACTGGGTAGCTTACAACTGTCTGTAGTTCCAGCTCCAAGGAATGTGACTCCCCATTTGGCCACTGCAGGGACACACACTTAGATACACACACACACACACACACACACACACACATTTCACTTGAAAATAAAGTAACTATTTAAAACTTGTCAATTTGCTGAGGTTCTTAAGAGTTAAAAAGCCTGGCTTGCTTTGCAATGTTATTAGTCTGTACCAGAGCTTTCATTAATGTTATTCACAAATAGGAGTTTCATTTAAAGAGGAAAGGGTAAAGATGTATGGAAAAAATATCTCCACACTAAATAATTTCATTAAAATTACTTTAACTATTAAGTAGAATTATCTCAGCATTTAAAAAAAATGAATGGTCACAGAAAAGATAAGGGATCTATATTTGGTCCCTCAGTTATTCAGCAAGTACACAGGTCTACCTACTTACTATGTGCAAAGTACTGCTCCAGGTACTAGAATACAACAGTAGATCATGCAAAGTCCCTCTAACCTACAGTAGGCATCCTAAGTAAGAAGGGATGAGGAACTAAATGTAATATGAATACACAGAGAAAGAGAGACGGTGCTTGTGGCGATTGAGTGTGGGCAAGAAAAGCAGAGGAGTGTAGGAAAGGAGAGGTGTTCTTTTCAGTCATCATCAGAGAAGACACAACTGACCAAGGGGCACGGGACCAGTCAAGGTGACTGAAGTGAGGGAGCTCTATGGGGAACAACCTTCAGAGCCTGCAAAATGGGCAGAGCCCATGAAAGCCTGAGATAGGCTCATGCCTACCCTATCCAAGGTGCACACGGAGCCTGACATTGGAGGTAGGCAAAAGGGAGTGGAGATCAGATACGGGGGAAGAAAGCCTGTGGGGTCACATTATGGTCCCTAGGATTAAAATGTTGTGCTAATTTAATGAAAAGTTTTTTTTTTTTTTTTTTGGAATCAGGCAAGGGCCAAGATCTGGAATGTTTTTTAAATGTCCCTCTGGCTACAGTGCCAACAATAATTTGCTAGGGGAGTCAACAGGTAAACCAGTTAGGAAGCTGTTGCAACAGCCCAACAGAGAAAACAAATAACAGGTCTGGTATTGGCACATAGTGGCATCCAACAGGCAGTTGTTGAAGGAAGAAACAAATAAGCAAGTGAAACTAAACTTCAAGACAGTTTTCATTTTCCAGATGCCAAAATGGCTCAGTAAGTCTGTGCTACGTCTAAAGACTTGAGCTTGATCCCCAGGGTCCCAAACCTACATGGTGGAAAAGGAGAGCAGACTCCTGAAAGTTGTCGTCTGTCAACAACACACACCCACACACAATCAATTGACCAATGCAATTTTAAACTGTTGAGTTGTTCATGCCTGTGATCTCAGCACTGAGGAGGCAGAGCCAGGAGGGTCAAGAATGCAAAGCCAGCTTGGAATATACAATGATTCTCTCTCTCTCTCTCTCTCTCTCTCTCTCTCTCTCTCTCTCTCTCTCTCTCTCTCATTCACTTCTTGGGGCTAGAGGGATGGCTCAGCAGCCAAACGTGCTTGCTGCTCTTGCAGAGGACCCAGGTTCCGTGGCCAGCACCCACACAAAGGCTTTCTACCATCAGTAAGTCCCGTCCCAGGTGATCGATCCAGCACCCTCTTCTGGCCTAGTCAGCTACAAAGCATGCACACAGTGCACTTACATAAATGCGTACGGCACACTAACACATACAATTAAAACCATAAATACTTTAAAATGAGTAATTTCTTAAAGAAGATTCTGATTGACCCTATAGTTGCCATTTCTTATGTAAGCTTAGCTCTACAAAATAACCACCTTTTTTATTTTCATATAACCTATCATATTTGTTTCTGAGTCTGCTCCTCTGCTACTTTGTAATCATTAAAGTTGCCTGTGTTTGCTTTTCCATTTGAGTTTGGGAAGTGTAATCCACACCAACCGGTGCCCTAGTTTATAATTGTCCCTTCAATCGAGCCACCTCATACCACCTGCCCTGCAGTTCAAACGTTGTCCTAATTACACGTTTCCCCGAAGAACATTGCTAAATGGGTTTATATATTTGGGTACAAGCTCAGTTTCTGGCACATATTTGCCATGCCAGATAGCATTTACAATGACGTATGTTTCTCGATAGCTGGGAAATAATTTGATGGAAAAGCAATTTGTAGGCAACGGTTGCCTGAGGGATATTGGATGGATTAGTGGAAGACTCTGGAGATGGGCAATCCATTTAGAAAATCACTGGAGGACTGTAGACATGAAGTGGCAGAGAGGCATGTGGAAAGAGTATGTGTTCGTGGTGCTGGGGAATAGCAGAGTTCAGTGGACACCTCTGGAGGGGTTCCGGGTTCTCAGATCCTGGAATGAGTTTGACGGAGACACGGGGCAAGGGGGTCTAAGAAAAGAAACCCTTCTGAGGGAGAACCAGGCTGGAGAGAAAACAGTCGAGTAGCTGTAAGGTCTCCAATGCATCTAATACCAGGACACACGTGTCGAGTAGTGCGATTTGGTGTCTCCTGAGTTCTCTGTGACCTGGAGTTCTTCTCGGTATCTCTTAACTCGCTAATATGTGAAACCTTCACCCACGGGTGACCTGACGGTGAAGAGTGCCTCTTCTCCTCTGCTCCTACGCCAGGGGCTCCGTTTTTTGGGTGGCGGAGGTTCCACTACCGGGTTCAGTCAAAG